AAAACTCATCTTTGGCCGCCATTTTCTCACTCATTTTACCTCTGAAACCAGGTGGCCCCCCACTTCCTTGATTTGTCAATTATAGCTATTATATATACATATAGGTGTGGTGCTAGATCAAGATATGTCTATGAAATCCCATGTATCCAATCTTTGTAAAAAAATCTATATCTCCAACTGAAGAAAATAGGGTGCATTAGAAAATATCTATCTGTTGGTGTCACCAAAACTTTAATAACTTCGCTTATATTGTCAAGGATTGATTATTGCAATTCCTTACTGGTTGGGGTACCTTATGAATAGTTACAACAACTACGAAGAGTACAAAATGTTGCTGCCAAAATAATTACTAAGAAACTAAAGCATGATCATGTGACTCCTATTTTAAAAGAATTACACTGGCTCCCGGTGAAAGAGCGTATCATATATAAAATCTGTTTAACTTGCTACAAGTGCTTACATGATTTATCACCGGACTATCTAAAACAGTTTTTAACACCATATGTGCCTCCTAGAACGCTCAGATCATCAAGTGACAAAACAACCCTTGTTAAGCCTAAAATAAATAACAAATTATATGGCCAACGCTCCTTTTCATATTTTGCCCCACTTGTTTGGAATAGGCTTCCAAAAACTATCAGAGAAGCAGAAAATCTAGAAATTTTTAGGAAGAAACTAAAAGCATTTCTATTTTCATCTTATTTCGATTAGACAGAATCCATCCAAGCTGTAGATCGTTGTGAGTGTGTATGTACGTATGTGCATATGTACGTATGTGTGTATGTGTGTACGTATGTGTGTATGTGTGTGTGGTTCGTGCGTGTGTGAATATGTGTGCGCACGAGTATGTAACACAATGTGCCTTTAAAATTGATTTGTAAATCCATAATATGTATCATGTTAAGGGCATAGAGCATTGCATAAGTGGATATGCGCTATATAAATGCAATCCATTATTATCATTTTTATTATTATTATTATTTTTATTATTATTATTATTATTATTATTATTAAACATATCTACATTTATAAATATATATACATATATATATATATACCTACATACCTACATACCTACATACCTATATTCCTATATTTCTACATACATACATACATACATACATACATACATACATACATACATACATACATACATACATACATACATACATACATACATACATACATACATACATACATACATACATACATACACATACAAATATTATACATACATACATACATACATACATACATACATACATACATACATACATACATACATACATACATACATACATACATACATACATACATACATACATACATGCATGCATACATACATACATGCATACATACATACATGCATACATACATACATACATACATACATACATACATACATACATACATACATACATACATACATACATACATACATACATATATATATATATATATATATATATATATATATATATATATATATATATATGTGTGTGTGTGTGTGTGTGTGTGTGTGTATATTATATATATATATGGATATATATATATATGTATACATTTATGTACATGTATATATAATAATATATGTTTACTATCTATTATTGTATATATTTAGCATACGAGATATAAACGCCTACTTGTGTACTTTCGTATATAGTTAATTAGTCAATCAATGCAAAGGATGACGATTCAATCTTACAACGGGGTAATGACTTTCTGGTGATATGGGAAAATCCTACTTTTTCTTGTCACTGCGATCTTCCTTGACCCTCACAACAACCCATCAGCCGTATTCAGAGTACGCGTTTTCACTGACAACATAAACTGTTTTCGGCTCTGACAGCGACGCTTTGAATAAATACACCCAAGATGGGCCATTTCCTGCGAGGAAAGTCGATCGCAACCACTAGACCACGGGGTAGTACCGGGTACCCACCACACAACGTCAATATCGACTTTACCCACTATCGATATCACGGAGGGCACAGCCTTAGTGCATGCCATCAGCGGGCGCGGGAGGCAATTCGGACAGACCGACAGAGCAGTAGCAGACATTCTCTCTTGTACCTACTCACCGCTGTGATGTTCGGGTTGCTTACTTGCGTACTTTGCCAAAATGCGGAGATCCAGGATTCGGATCAGGGTCATCTTCATGCTTTTTTTTTTCAACTGTCATAGAGAATGTGAACCCCCCCCCCCCCCCCCCCCCCCCCAAAACGGGGGGTTTTTTTTTTTTTTGGGGAGAAAAAAAACTTCTGAGCCCGCCCCCCCCCAGAAAAGAGAATTTTGTTCCCCCCCAGTGGGTTGTGGAAAAAAAAAAAAAAAAAAGAAAATCCGCGCCCCCACTCCTTTT